CGTTTCAAAGCGGCCGAATCCGGTGCTGCTGCTCGACGCTGACGTCTCTCAGCGGCTTCACGTTCTCTAAGTTGAGCATCTTCCGCTCGACGCCGACGTTTACGTTCGGCGTCGCGAGCTCTTCTCCGCGCTGCCTTGTCTTCGGACGACGACTTGGTTGCGGTTCCGCCAACACTTTGGCCGGCGCTGGTCGAAGGGACGTCGATCATTGCGACCTCGGACGTCGACGCGCCGTACAAACCAACTGACGAGCGGCAACTGAGCGAGCGAGCACCGACCTTGAGTATATATACAGCGCGACGGCGCATGCACTGTCAGCTGTCGAATGTTCGAGAAGGGGGAGAAGCGCAACGGCGCATGCGCGCGCGTCAGCTGCCGATGTTCTCGAAGCGCGACGGCGCATGCGCGCGCGTCAGCTGCCGATGTTCTCGAAGCGTGACGGCGCATGCGCGCTACATTATACAGCTAGCGAATGTTCGTGAAGAGGAGAAGCGCACGCGGTGTGTAGAGGAGGAAGGGTGCACAGATGGTGGAGGAGTGAAGCGCGCGCGGTGTGTAGAGGAGGAAGGGATGCACAGATGGTGGAAGAAGGAGGAGGAAGCTTGCGGACGGCGCCGCACTACAAGCCTCGAGTAATAGATGCTCCGCATCTAAAAAATAGGGTAACGATTTAGAGTGCTTGGTACTCTACTATGGGAGAGCATAAAGCCGTCCCCTCAATGCTGGCACTGTGTTTAGAAAAAGTTTATTTACAGCATGTACAGAACACAAAGGCTTCATACCATTCCAGTAACAGGGCACATACACTACGGCACATCTATATTTCACGACTAACATCACTACGTTACAGTGAAGACATTTGCTCTAATATACATGATTATGTTGGCATACATGTACACAAAAATTCAATGTGATATCACGATACAAGGGTATAACGATACAATAGATCCAAATGAAACACAATTTGTAACAAATGATATCATATATAACAATTCAACGGGCGCTGCTTAACACCAAGTCGGTCGAAAAATGAGTTGTATAACCTTGACTAAAGGGCACGACCAATGCCGCAGAAACTCTTATGGCAACAAAGAGAAGTTTATTGACTTCTCTTGTTTAGAAAAAGTTTATTTACAGCATGTACAGAACACAAAGGCTTCATACCATTCCAGTAACAGGGCACATACACTACGGCACATCTATATTTCACGACTAACATCACTACGTTACAGTGAAGACATTTGCTCTAATATACATGATTATGTTGGCATACATGTACACAAAAATTCAATGTGATATCACGATACAAGGGTATAACGATACAATAGATCCAAATGAAACACAATTTGTAACAAATGATATCATATATAACAATTCAACGGGCGCTGCTTAACACCAAGTCGGTCGAAAAATGAGTTGTATAACCTTGACGAAAGGGCACGACCAATGCCGCAGAAACTCTTATGGCAACAAAGAGAAGTTTATTGACTTCTCTTGTTTAGAAAAAGTTTATTTACAGCATGTACAGAACACAAAGGCTTCATACCATTCCAGTAACAGGGCACATACACATCGGCACATCTATATTTCACGACGAACATCACTACGTTACAGTGAAGACATTTGCTCTAATATACATGATTATGTTGGCATACATGTACACAAATATTCAAATATTCAAAATATGCTGGCACTTCGTTGTGGCAGAACAATTGTTATAAAAGTAACCGAAAGCATGCTGCCGATGAGAGTAGTATACATAAATGCGGCCGTCAAAAGTGCGCCGGTCATGTGCGTATTTGTATGCGCCGTTTTCAGGTGAATCGTACTGTCTCGGTCGTCTGCTTTTCAGCGATCGTTCGTGACTGGCATCGCAATCTATTCTTTTATCCAAGTCACCTATGATTTTACGTTGCCACATTTCGTTGTTACCTAGATGTGAACTAGTGACGTCGTTATTGCATGTATAGCGACTGCAGTTAGAGCTGCGAAGTACGTGGACGAAGAAGGTCACATTCGCATTTTACATTTTTCTCATCTGCTGGTTGCCGTTTTGGTCTTGTCCACGGTGTAAGAGGTATATTACAACGTGGTCTAGGCTTTTGGTAAAGTGCCAAAAATGGTTTTCCGGTCGGCGCCATGGTGATTTCCGGGCTGCGTGAGTTGGCAATGACACCTCCAAAAAGTGCACTGCCGAAGCTATGACGTCATCAGTTGTACTCCCGCGCGCAGCCTACCATAGCTGCGTATCTTCCATCTTGTGAAAATGCGTATATTGGTATTGCCAGAAGCAAGATATGTTTCGCGACTTTGCCGCTAGGAGAAGGGCGCTTGCGCCATCGCATGGTGAGGATTCCTGGCATGGAGGAAGGGAAAAGTAAAGAGGGAGCATTGCGCAATGCGAGACAAAGTATGTCAGACATGCAGACGTTGCTTACCCCCACTTTCCCAATAGGTGGAAAGTACCTGAATTTTCTCCAAAGTCAAGTATAGATCTCATACCAGAAAAGGGTACTACAATTGCATTTTACACGTATATTTAGGACCGGCTTCCAGGGGTTGCTTCTGCAGCCAGTGACGCATCGGAGTAAGCTGTTCTAGGAAGCAGTATATGTTGATCAATATACGATATGCTGCCACATGACTGTGACGAGAAATGGATTCGTTCCGAATTTTATTATTTTTTTGTGAGAAATAGTTTAACAGGGCCAGAAGCTGGCACCAACGTTTCGGCAGGTGCAATCGTCTTGCTTTTCAAGTGGACTTGACTTGGATCGCTGCATGGCATTGCTTGCCCACTTGTCTTCGTAAAAGCAACAGTCTGTTCCGCTTCCGAAATGGACTTGTCTTAGTTAATACGTTAATCCAAGCCAACTCTGCTTCACAAGCAGGACGAGTCCGTTTGTCGAAAAGTTTACTACAGTACTACAGCAGCAACCTTGAGTTCGAAAATGTTTCACAACCCTCCAAGCCGACGTGATCCCCTGAACTTCTGTCATGCCTGTATTTTTGTTCTTCGTGAAATAAAGGGCTGTCGTTTTGTGCTGGTCCCATATATACACTTTGTGGGAGAATGGATAAAACTCGTGGCGCTGCGCGGTAGCAGTCGCTTTTCACAACTGCATAGAGAGGCGAATGGTGCCCACAAGTGTGTACATCTTTCTCACGGACGCAGATTTGTCTGCTACCGGTTTCGTCTGTTTCGTACGTCGTCTGCTGCTAATGAACGCGCGCTGTGCGAAGAAGGAATGGTGGGGGAGCGGGGGGGCAGTCAGAAGGTGCGCGTGCGTTGTGCACATCTCTACATCGAGAGTTGTACGCCTCGAAGGCTTCGCTTATGAAATTCGAATGAGTCCCGTATCACGAGCCGAGGCCTTGCCGCACGGTGTAACACGATGGGAGAGATGAGTCGGAACGGCGTTAAATGTAACTCGCCGGCGGGCGGTCATTACGCGCGCGCAGACATGGCGCCCGGCCGCCTGGCGCTCGTTCATCAGCATGCTGGAAGGCGCGATTGCATTCGCAGCAGTTACGCGGGTAACACGTGTACAGATGCTTGCAGCTTGTTTTGCGCGGCTCTTCACCTTCGCGGTACGAGTTCGCGACCTCCGGCGCGTAGCGTCGCCATTCGAACTGCCCCTTAAACGCCGCTACACGGTCTTGCTTGTCCTATCTATTTTTGATGGGTCCTTCCACGGCTTCTTTCTCCGTGTCATTGAAATGGTGATTCGCTTGGAAGCGAGCGGTTGTAGTCATTTTCGCGCGTTGGGACACACACCTTCTTCGGCCGGCCCTGAATCTCTTTGGTAGTGAGCGTCTCGTATTTCTATATAGCCACGAAAGCGTCCAAGCGCGTGGTACTTGTGGTCGCCAAGAGAGTCCGTGCATTGGTTCTTTTGTATTCCTAATTGCCCCCTCCGTTTCGCTGTTTAAAGGGTCTGCCGACTCAAATTAACTTGGTGTGACGACCACTTTGAAATGCTAATGAAAGGCATCTTATGGAGGGCACCCTTTAAAGAAGGTAGTCACCTTATTAAGGGGCCCTCTAGAGAAGTTACTGCCCTGTGACGCCGGAGCCATTGCTGAAGGAGAAAGCTGAACTGATCTCAGCAGCGCGACAAGGCTCGAGCGAGCATCGACCTCCGTGCTCCTTCAAAGAACTGTCGTTCGTTTTCTCTGCTTCACGCTAACTGCCCGGCGTATTTATGTGCCCCACTGTCGACGTTCCCAGTACTCGTGCACGTGCAGGCACTGATTTTAGTGAATCTGTGTGACGTTAACGTTAGTGCTTGAAGTTGTGCAATGCATTTTCTGGGGAATCGTATAGATGTGAATGGCGTTTCAGGCGCAGGGAAAGTGTATTTCGTTTAATTTACCCGCGAAGGCGATATGTTGCAACTTGACGATTCCCCTGAGGAGGTGCAATGTAAATGTTGGCGCATCGCGTTGACGTAAAGTTAGACATTACCAGGCGTTAGCAGTTTTCCACTCTCTGGGGAAACGAGTTTGGTAGCAGTAGCTAAGCTCCAGCACATTCAGACAAAAGGGAATGTCATAACGGAACGCTGGATGACTGTCACCATGGGTACTTACGACAATGTGTTATACTGGACACTATGTCGATATAGGTATACTAGACAATATAATGGTGGTCAGCCACACTGCATTCGCTGTGTTTAGCTTTCTCTAGACGGCCGTTGCAGAAACTGGTCATGAGGTTCAACCGTATAGATTAGCTGAAATACCATTGTAGTTTACGCGTGTGGCCGTGTGGGTCATGTGTTTATCACTACATATATCGTAGTCGCCACCAGCACCTGTACTAGTCAGGCGAAAAGCCAGACGAACATCTCCAGGTCTTGATCAAAATATTTATCTCTATTTCTCTTTTAGTGAATACGATAAACGAACTTAAAAACGCAACATAACGTTGATACAGGCTTTGACAACATAGGAGTGACAAAACTCGTTTTGTTTCTTTTTTTTCTGCGTATTCGCAGGCTCCTCCTTGCCGCGAACGCGGCCAGTGTTTCCCGAGCCTCTGGACTACCCGCGACCGTCCCCCGCGTCCAGGACAAGGCGGCATGGCAGTTCCACAGCGGCCAGCCACTGGCAGCACGCTTACTCCGCATTCTCCTCCTCCGCTGCACCTTCCTCTCAACCTCTCTCTTCACGATCATCATCATTACGTCCTCTCCGGACGACGACGCCGTCCAACGCGTCTTCTTCGCCTTACCGGTGGCGGCGTTCCTCGTGGCCCTCTGCCGGGTCTTCGCGGAGGCCGTCTCGCGCCGGAGGGCGCAGGCACCACGACGGTTCCGTGCTGTGGCGTGTCGAACACGGGCTCACGTTGCGCCTCTGGAGGGACTCGAGCCACGTGTCGCCGAGACTTCTGGCGCTGCGGTACCGCGACGCTCCCGGAGGTCAGGACGCACGGGACCTGGTGCCCATGAGCGACGAGGACGCCGAGAACGAGGCCGACGGCGCGGACGACGTCAGGAACTGCTTCTACTCGGGTGACGTGGTCGGCGAGCCCGGCTCTAAGGCGGTCGTCTCCCTCTGCCACGGAATGGTCAGCGCATGCCTATTGTTTATTGTTTCGTTCCTTCGGTTATATGAACTTTGTTGCCAGCTTTCGTACGCCGTTGGAAGTGCTGACACCTGGCGGCTGCTCCGCTCGCAATCCGGTCGTGAACGTTTACTCCCCGCTTTATTGGCGTTGTAACCGTGGAAGACGACCTATTTGTTATGTGCATACTTAGAAACGACCCTGAAAAATTTGTTTCCCAGTGGGATGCCGTCACCTGTTACATTGTATGAATTGCGTGGTGTGCTACGAAAGAGCAAGTATAATAATCAACCGCGAAGAAGAACTTTTTGCCGCGGTCTTCCTTTTCTCACCATTTACGCAATAACATAGGCTTCGCCAAATGATGTTAAGCTTAATAGCCGACTTGTCCTTTTTTTTTCCAGAAGTACGTGATCTACACTTATCGCTGATTGGCTGACATAAGCATTAACCACCATTGCGCTCTCAGTTCGTGAGAAAGTGCGTTGGGTAGTTTGTATCACTACACATGGTGGGCGCACCTAGACTGTCCTCTGCTGACATCTTAAACACGACAATACGTGAATGCTGCGAAACTTTGAGAGACTCGTGCAACTGTATGATTAATACATCATATCTCGCAGAGGTATATGACCCGGAAAACCGCCTCAGTCGTTGCTATACGTTCGGATATGCAACTGTTAGATACGGTGTGTTGTTAGGCTGCCCTGCACGGTCCCACTCCAACACTCATTGGTTGCTGTAGACGCGTGGTGTCGTCACTCGGGGGCGTTTCCTCGCCTTTGCATCCAGTCAACGAAGGTCAAGTGTTTCGAACAAGCAAGTACGCTTTGTGCAGCAAATAGTCCCGGAGAAGCGTCGCCACCAGTGGTCCCCTCGTTGTGCCACTGTATATTGCCTTGTTGCCGGAGGTTCCACGCTGTTCCGTACATCGCCCCCGTGCCTTGCTGGCGACACAGCGTTTCTGTTGTGGCGTACAAAGGTCAGCCACTGTCCTCCAAGTCGTCTAAGCCATTTAAGTGAAGTACTGAATTTGTTGATATTTTTTCATGTTCTATAACGCCGTTGTTCATTTGGTGCGAAATTATAAGCACGAAATAGTCGCAGAATCATTTTTGAATATCGCGCCGATGTGTCAGCACACAAACTCTGACGTGACGTTGCGAATTTAATTGGCTTCTTTTCGCACATCGGTCAGATTGTCTCAGCTGAATTTCCTGAAACTTGCTGTAGAGTGTTTGGCTTCCTTCGAACACAGTACGATTCATTTTTCACGGTTAAAGAACTGTGCTCGCCCTAGCGGACCCAGAGCAAGTTAAATACATGACGTCATGAATGGCTGGTACGAGAACCTCATGAAGGCATTGCTGCCTGCTGTATTTTCTTAGAATGTACTCTGGGTAATCAGAATGTCTTCCAGGGACAAGGGGGAAAAGGAAAGGGAGTAATACAAGAATAAGCAATAGTTTCACTCCCGAATCTGTTTAGTGTTGACACGATTTCACTGACGTCATTTCCGCCACGGAAATTACGCTGTGGAAAATTAAGTGATGATAGACAGGTACTCTAGTTCTGTAACATTCACGCAGGGTGCCTTTTATATCACTTCTGGTTATCACTTCTCTTTCCCTAATATATAGCAAAGCATACAGCCCCGCTGCGGTGGTCTAGTGGCTAAGGTACTCGGCTGCTGACCCGCAGGTCGTGGGATCGAATCCCGGCGGCGGCGGCGGCTGCATTTCCGATGGAGGCGGAAATGTTGTAGGCCCGTGTGCTCAGAATTGGGTTCACGTTAAAGAACCCCAGGTGGTCGAAATTTCTAGAGCCTTCCACTACGGCGTCTCTCATAATCATATGGTGGTTCTGGGACCTTAAACCCCACATATTAATCAATATATAGCATACAGCGAAGCAATAGCTCATAATCGAGTTTGTTCAGAAACAATCGTCAACGTATATGACGTCATATCCGGTTTCAGAAGGTGGGTGAAAGGGCTCCAGAAAGGCACTTAGCTTTGAGCGAGTCAGAATTTTTGGTGAAATACCAGGATGCAACAGAGTTTCGCTATGCATAGATTATGAAAGGGTGCGTTGGATGTGTAAATTTTTTTTTCATTCAACATTCACTAAGCAACTTTATAAGTTTGGATTTCAAATGTTCAACAGCAGAAGGGCAGCTACTCAATAGATTCGATTGGTTTCGCTTTTGCGGATTGTTATACGTTGGGCGCGCTCAAGCACAACTCCAAGAAACATCTACGGCGCAAAAGAAAGCGAGAACGAGGATAATGCAAGATAGAACGCCAGGAACTTCGCGTTAGGGCGCATTCTTATCTGTAAAGAATAGATGGTTGTTTTGCTTTCATTTTCACGCGCGCTTACTTACGTGTACGCATGGGCTTCATTTCGCGGCTGTCAAGCCGATTTCGTCTTCATATACGCGCCGCCTCGAACAGCCGCAGCCTGGTGGCACAAAAGGGTTAAGATGGGGGCCTTCCGGGAAAACCTTGACCGAATTGCCGTCTCGCATCATTACTTTCCTTCCCCTATACATCTGCATTCTATAGCGCCTCGTGGTGGGGAGACCATTTGCGCAGGCGTTAGCACTTATTCCCGGTCATTCGATCGAGCCGACGGACGGTCACTGCGTATCTCTCCTCCGCTCCATCTTTGTAACTTCTCCGTCTTGCGGCGCGCCACACGTACATACGACCCCCGTAAATGCGCGCTGCCATTCCGATTCCAGTGCGGTCATTGAGTGGGAGCTTGGCTGCGCGGTTTGAGAACGCGAATCTGTCCGAAGATTAATGGAGCGTGGGGGTCCATGCCAGTTGCGCCTCGACGACAGCAGTGATCGAGACCTCGTCGCGCCCATACTACCGGCGTGTCGTATGGGCGGCTATACTGGACGCCGGCTACTGGACGCCGAGATGCCGCTGTCGAGAGACGAACTGCCGCCCAGAAGGTCTCCTGCGCTTCGCTATATCTTTGCAGTATTGTGCGTGCACCTTGAATAACATACATTCGCGGACGTTTGATATACGAACGAGTCAAGTCCAACTAAAACGAGCTCTTTCCTCTTTCATAACTCGCCGTGGTATAGTCAACTGCTGACCAAAGTGGCCTCAAAAGGGGTAATACACCGGGCCGTGCCCCTCCCCCCCTCCCGGAAACCATTTTTTTTTCGTCGTGGCATACATAGCGAAAAGTCACCATTTTAAGCCTGCCGCTGCTCTGAAATTAAGAGGGTGCAACCCCCCCCCCCTCCCTCTGAAGAAATATCTGGCTATGCGCCTATATCTGACCACAACGTTGCGGTAATTCCATTTTTTATTGCTCATGAAATAATTAGATCTGTATTGCTAATGAAATAAACATCTATTCTATCGTTGCAGGAGAGATTTTCGGTATGTATGTTATATTTAAAACAGATAATGGTGATATACATCTCTGAACTCAGTGGACGACGAAAGAAGCAGTGCTATGGATGGCTATGAACTTGATCTTAAATGTGTGGCGGCTCTTAATCTTCAGGTGTAGACCCTTAATTTCGAGCCGCCGACATCACACCGTGTAAGAGTTCAGTGCCGCACTAGGCTCTTGAAGATAAGCGTTCGCGGGGAATAGCATTGTACGGCAGCTTGAGCGCAGAGCGAAGAACACGTCGTTTAGGCAGTACGCTCCGTCGAGCCCGTGGCGTTTCCGCTCAGGAAGTCTGTCTGAGGGTTTTCAAGCGGTCTGTTCAGCAAAGGGGTGGAGGGCAAAGGCTCACCCACGCTTGATTACTTTGAAATAATAAAAGGAAACACAGGGAATGGACTCTTTTTCGCTGTCTTTCTCGCTCTGAGTCCTTACGCAATTCTGCGAAGAAAGGAAGAGGTGATGAGTAAACGTCTTGATTCCGAGAATATACAGCTTCGCAGAGGAATCCTAAGTTCAAGATGCATGCTTTGAGCCCAGAAGTGAGATTGAGTGTCTCTCGGAGTCGTGGAGACAGTCTGGCCAGTCGAGTGCTTGCTTTTCGTTGGCAGGATGGGGCGTCCCTTTCCTTTAGCACTGTGGAATACATTGTATCCAGCTGTGCCGGATGCACTGCCGCTTGATGCCCCTCGCAGCATCCGCTGCAAATGGGCCGTGATGTGTGGCAGGAGAGCGGCTGTCGCTCCTTTTCCCGCCCGTTCATTAAGCCTGCTTCAATTCTTTTTAAAATTGTTTTACTCTCTCGTTTAAAGAAGACTCCGGGTACACCTATCAGGCACTGTTGATCTTGAGTGGACGTCCTCCTGAAGACAGGGAGGGTCGAAAAGAGCGTAGTTCTGGAGAAGTTTCAGGCAGTTATGCAATAGCAGGCTTGACAAGTGCGCATACTGTACTCGAAACGAAAAAGCAAAGTATAGAGTCAATACAACTGTTGTGCCGATTGGGAACTTATCATGAGAAAGATGAGAAAGATAGAGAAATGAACGCAAGGGAAAGACGCAAGGTCAGTGCAAGAACACCAGATGGTTAGAATTTCCGGAGCCGTTCACTATACGGAGTCTCTTACATAATCATATCTTGGTTTTGGGTCGTGAAACCCCAGTTATTATTATTATTATTATTATTATTATTATTATTATTATTATTATTAAGGCAAGGGTAGTTAACCATGCGCATGCCTGGTTTGCTACCTTGCAGTGGCGTAAGGGTTCGAGGGGTGATAGTTGTCTTGGAGAAGCGTACCTGGGCTGAAAGTTCCGCGGAGGGCGCGTGGTGTGTGGGTGTAGCGTTACTATCTCGAACTTTTTTGCAAGGTAAAGCGGGAGCAAGCGCAGAGTTTTCTTTTTGTAGATGACAGAAAAAAAAGGAGTGGTCTAACGTACGGCCGGTTGGAGCAGTGTCGTCTCTCTTACTGACAAATACTTCAACCTCTATTCATACGGCACTTTCAACCGCTGCTTCTTCATATCCCAACAAGAACCCGCAGTCGCAGAGGTTCACCCACACTCCTATATCTGAAATTG